TCCTCGTGCTGCTCCTGCTTGCTCCCCTGCTGCTTGACCATCTTGCGGAGCTCGGCAAGCTCTGCGCTCTCCTTCGGCGCGCGCGCCTCCTCGAGCAGCTTGGCGAGCCGCTCTCGCTCGCTCCGGTTGACGGCGTCCATGAGCTCCGCAACGTGTGTGACGGAGCGGTCGTCCGCCCACTTGAGTAGCGGCGGCTGGAGTGGGGCGAGTGCCTCCTTGCGCTCGAAGCGGAGCGCGGGCTGCTCGCACTTCTGCATCAGCTTCCGCCAGTAGTCCGAGAGCTGCTCCCACGACGCTCCGTCCTCCCGCGTCTGGTGGAGAAAGCGGGCCACATTCGCGCCAAAGGCGAGGATATGGCTGGAGAAGGTGAGGTGTGCCTTTGCCCAGATGCTGAAGAAGACTCCGAGCGCCATCTGCAGCTTGACAGGGCACCTGATGTGCGCCAGCGGCGCCTTCTTGGAGAAGCCGTCTTCCTGGCCCTCCAAAAGGCAGGCGATGTCCACTTCGCTGAAGCGCCCGACGCGAATGCGTCCTGCTTGGCGCCGCTGCTCCTCTGACCATTGCTTGTCAGTCGCGAAGCCAAAGTGCATTGACTCCAGACGGCGAAGCATGGCCCGGCGAATTGACCGAAGGTCGACAACAAAACCGTCGTCCGCAACGTACGACGACGCAAGGCTGTTTACGCTAGCGTCTGTCGCGTGCACTAGGCGCATGATGTGCGGGGAGGGCGCGCCTGCTGACGACGCGCCGTCGATGTACTTGGCGATCTCATCGACCCCTTTGTTGTCCTCGATGGCGGCGAGTGCGGCGAGCCTCTTGACGCACTCGCGCTCCGCGGTCGTCAAGCTCTGCGCGGCAGCGGCCGCGGAGAGGGCCTCGTCGCCGCCCTCACCCGATCCGCCCGTCGTGATCTTGATGATCGGCTGCGTAAGGATCGGGGGCGGCACGCCCGGTGGCGGAGTGGGCGGGGCGAGCCGCTGCTGGTCCTTGGCCATCGCAAATTGGTACATCAGCGAGCACGCTGCGTCCACCGACCAGTCGGTGCGAAGGGCGAGCGACGCAACGGAAGCCTCTCGGAGGCTGCCGAGCCCACTTTCCAGCCATCGCTCGATCGCGTCGCGAAGGACCGCCTCGCTGGAGCGCCCCAGTTCTCCCCGCGGATGTTGCGCGTGAAGAACTCCGCGCACGACTTGGGTGCGGGCAGCGCGGCGACCGGCGTGAAGTCGGGGCCAAGCCTCTCGAGCTGACTCCGAAGCTCGAAGACGGAGTAGGTCGCCTTGTCCCCAACTGCCGCCAACCAGCTAGAGCCTTCTCCGCCGGAGACTTTTGGCCTCGAGAGCCCGGGCGAACGTCTTGACGCGCTCCTCTCCCGAGAGCGAGACCGCGCCCGCGGCCGGAAGACCGTCTGCTAACTGGAGAATCTCCTCTAGCGAGACGTGGTCTTCGGCGGCGCTGCCTGACTTGGGCAACTTGCGGAAAACAGCCAGAGCACTGCTCGAGCCGTTGATCTTGACAAGCGTCGCGTTCGAGACGACGTGTGCCTGCGTCGGCTGTAGCATGAGGGTCACCAGCGTGGTGTTGAGGATGACCGAGCGTCGTGGCTCGCCCTGTGCTCCGCTCTCCTCGAGCACGTACATGCCCTCGGATGGTCCTTGGATGACGGTGTAAGGCATCTGCGCCTCCTCACCGCTCTCGAGCGGCACCTTGCCGCTGCCGGTGCGGCCCGCGAGCGAGCCGGCCTCCACTGTCGAAAGAATGCTCGCGTTGGTGAATGCCTCTCCGAGCTGCGTGGCCCAGCCCGCGGCCAGGTGACCCAACTGTGATGACGACAAACGCTCAAGTGTCTTGACAACCTTCTCTGCCGCATCGGCGGGGCCATCCGAGGCGGTGCCTCCGCCTGCGGCCAGCTGAGGGTATTGCTGCGATAGCAGGGCGAGAGCGGCCGCCTTGGCCTGGCTCTCGTCGAGTCCCTTCTGCAGCACCTTGACGGTATGGTAATTGCGCACATCGGCTTTGACGACAGAGGAACACAACAGGTATTGATCCTTGTCCACGCCATGCACGGCACTGTCCTTGGTGGCCTTAGCAAGCGCCACTTCCACAAGCGTCTCAATGGCAGACATCAGCGACAGGCGACAGAGATCAAAGGGGGCGGGAGGACAGTGGCGTGGACGAGCACGCGGGTGCGCAAACAAGCGGACGCGCGATCTGAAACGTCGTCCTTGGCCACGTGCCCCGCTGGCAAACCACAAGAGAGGGTGGATAGAGATAGGCGCCTCAGGCGACCGCTCGTCCTGCCCCTCCCCTCAGCAGAGCGGGCGAGAATGCTAAAGCATTCACGCCACATCCACTGAGTTTTGTGTCTGTGGTGTCGCTCCTGCGTGTCGTCATCATCTGTCTAGCGTCCACCCATACCGCGTTGGTGTCCAGTCCGAGCCTGGCTGTTCTTCACCTTCCTAACTAACTAACTGTGGGGTGGCGGCTGCCGTCCTGCCATCCCTCCCTTGGCTGGGCTGTTTTCTTTCTTTATTTTAGATCCTCCTCGTCAGGCGGGGCGCTATGAGTGGGGTTCTCAGGGTCCCGTGTCAGTCCCTGAGAACCCCACTACATAGCGCCACCTCGTGAGCTGTCCTGTGAGCTGTCAGCTGTCAGCTGTGTGTCCAGCAGTCCGGACCCGGTGCTACGGCCGGTGACAGTGTGCCTCGTGTCGGCTCCCGAGCCAATCGTGTGCAGCGTGTGTGTGCGTGTGGCCCCGTCCTCCATGCTAGGAGTGGTGTGTAAAACTGACTGACTGTCGTCAGAGGCGGGGATTGAAAAAAAATGGAATGGGGACACCTCTCACCTGTTCATCGGCCGGAATGAGCTCATTTAGGCCGAAGCGGGAGATGAATTCACACCGCCAGAAACCAGACCCACGCCCCACGGCAGATCAGCTGCGGCAGATCCCACAGCGGGAAAATGGCGCGGAGGCGGGTCGGGACACGGGAGAAGTCCACCTATACACCTCAGTCCACAGTCGAAAAAAACAGAGCGGCGCCGCAGAAACCGACCGACCCCTAAGTTTTCTATGGGAAAACGCCATGGGAAACCGCCTCAGAAACCCTATGGGAAACCGAGGTCTGGTGTCTGCTTTGTTCACGAATGGGCCAAGTGCAGCCAGCTAGGCCTAGGGTTGGAGTGTTAGAGTGCGAGGAGTGTTAGAGTGCGAGGGAGAGTGGCTCGGTGTCGACCGCACTTGCTTGCCCTCCGCCGTGTGTGCGACTGTGCGTGTGGAGACGTGCACCTTACCATACCTTGTACCACTACCACTAGTCCCCTCCCGCCTCGGGGTCGATCTCGTCGTCGGTGCTGTCCGCCTCGAGCCACTGCGCGAAGCTCTCCAGCTGCGCCTCCTGCGCCTCGACGTCGGCGCCCGACTTACCGCCGCTCGACGCGGCCGCCGCCTCGCGGAGCGCCTTCGAAGGCAAGAAAGCAGTGGAGCAGGCAAACTGTGAACAAGTGCCCGCCTCGCGGAGCGCCTTGGCGCGGTAGTCCGTCACGCCGTCGTAGAGCTCGCACTTCACCTGCGAGGAGGCGAGGGGCAGGGCCAGGAGGTGAGAAGAGCCCAACCCCCTCGAGCACACACGGCGGGGGGGTGCGTGTGTGCAACACACTGCAGCCACTGCGCCTGACTGTCGCCAAACCACTTCTCGGAAGTGTCTCGGAAGTGTCTCGGAAGTGTCTCGGAAGTGTCTCGCCTGGCTGCCCCCGAACGACTTCTCGCGCATCATCGCGACGCAGCGCTGCGCGTCGTCCCCCGACCTGCTCACAGCCGGAAGTGTGAAGAGCGCCCTCTTCACACCTCCTCCCCGCGCGACGTTCCCCAGACTTGAAGCGGACGGCGGCGGCTCGGCTACATCTCGGCTGTATCTCGGCTGTATCTCGGCTGTATCTCGGCAGACTTGAAGCGGACGGCGGCGGCCCCCTGCTCTGACCCCTCGAAGATGGTCACCTTCTCGATGGCGCCCGCCTTGCCGCACTCGACGCGCACGTCCTCGCGCAAGTTCGAGTAGAAGGCGGCGTCCGCGCAGTCCGCCTACCAGCGCACGGAGCGGTGCACCAGCCGGGCAGCAGGGAGCTGCACGTCCGCGGCGTCCGCCTCGGAGGTGTCGAAGAGGCCGAGGAGAACGACGATGGTCGCGCTCGCGCCCGCCGGCAGCTGCGAGTCGTCCCACTCCGCGAGGGCCTGTTCACAGACCACAGCTGTGAACAGCGCCTCTTCCGCGGCGGGGCACTGCAGCTGTGAACAGCGCCTTCTGCTCGAGGCGGCGCTGCTTCTTGCGGGCGATCTGCGCGTCGTCCTTGCTTCGCGCCTTTTGAGTCAGTGCTTCAATGAGGACCCGCACCGAGTTCACGCGGAGTCACCGCCGGCCTCCCCTCGCTGCCTGCTGCTGCAGCGCCTCGCCTCGCATCTCGAAGCGCGCCGGCTGCACCTTGAGTGCCGCGCCTAATCTCGGCGCATCTCGAGCTCACCTCGCGCGATCTCCGCGGGTGGCCTCGGCTGGAGGGGAGCAGGAGGCGCCGTCTCGCATCTCGAACCCGTCCCGCAGCGTGACGGCGAGAGGGACCTGATATCTCGGCTCAACCTCGGCTGATCTCGGGCCGATCTCGAGTGCTCTGGCCCCGCGGCGGCGAGAGGCGCCGACTCGGCCTTCAGGAAGGTGACCAGCGCGTCCCCCTTGGAGGTGCCTGGGGAGAGGCGCGAGCGTGGCACCCTCACAGACCCCGCCCAGCCCCTCGGCCTCACGGGCCGATCTCGGGCCGATCTCGGCCGATCTCGGGATCGGGCCGATCTCGCCTCCGGGCGCGCAGTAGATCTTGACGCGAGGCTGGCCGCTCGCCTGCGGAAGAGAGGGGAGCAGACCGCCGGCAACACTCACTCACTGATCAATCAGCTCTCTGCTGCCTCTCGGCTGCATCTCGGCTGCATCTCGGCTACATCTCTGCTACATCTCGGCTGCATCTCGGCTGCATCTCTGCTACATCTCTGCGACATCTCTGCGACATCTCTGCGACATCTCTGCTACATCTCTGCTCCATCCCGCCGGGTCCGTCTTGAGCACGCCGGCGACCTTGAAGCTCTCTGCTACCTCGGCGGACAGCGCCGCCGCCTACCAAACGTCAATCTCGGGTGATCTCGGGCAGTCTCGGGCACTCTTCTCTCCGCGGACGGCGCCGCCGCCTCCTCGCCCTCCGGCAGACCGCACACGTACACGCTGCTGCCTCCGCCTTCGACGAACTTTGGCTTCTTCTTCTTCCGCACCTGCCCGCACCACCGCCACGGTGTGAAGTCCGGCCGTGTTGAGACACGCACCGCCCCTCGGCCCAGGCCGGCTACTGCTGCTGCTGCCGCTGCCGCTGCTGCTGCTGCCGCTGCTGCCGCTGCCGCTGCTGCCGCTGCTGCTGCTGCTGCTGCTGCTGCTGCCGCTGCCGCCGCCGCCGCTGCCGCCGCCGCCGCCGCCGCTGCTGCTGCTGCTGCTGCTGCTGCTGCCGCTGCTGCTGCTTCTTGCGCGCCCGCTTCGGCTTGGCCGGCGCCGCCTCCGCCATATCTCGGCTACATCTCGGCGATATCTCACCCGCTTCGGCTTGGCCTCGCCGCCGCCCTGCGCGCCGCTTGCCGACGTAGCGGCGTCCCCGCCGCCCGCCGCCTCCCCGCCGGCCAAGGCGGACCCTGCCGCCGGCGCCACTCGGCCCGCCGCCGCCACTCGCGCACTCACCCTCTCTTCGTCCGGGTCGTACGCCTCCTCCGCCCCGCCTCCTCCGCCTCCTCCTCCGCCTCC